GAAATTTCACGACTGGATTTGTTGCACAGGTGGCATCCTATGACAGTTCCACGTTGGAATTCACTGAGCTCCTGAGAGCGGCCCATTCTTTCACAAATGTTTGTAAAAACAGTCTGCATGCCTAAGTGCTTGATTTTATACACCTGTGGCCAGGCCAAGTGATTAGGACACCTGATTCTGATCATTTGGATGGGTGACCAAATACTTTTGGTAATATAGTGTATATTGGACCAGTGGTACAATAGATGTCTCCAATGTCTAATTATATTGTAGGTCAGAAGAGTCTAGGTCTGCCTCCTGCCTGCCACAACTCTCCTTTAACCCATCCAATGTTCTGGATAATGCCTTGTTGTCTTCCACAGAGCTCAAACTAGAGTCTACCCAACTTGTCTAGCAAGCTCTGTGCTCCCATATGGTCTAGCGGTTAGGATTCCTGGTTTTCACCCAGGCGGCCTGGGTTTAACTCACGGTATGGGAACTTGCCTTTATTGTATCACCCAAGCTGAAATTAGCATTGCTTCTCCTGAAATTAATGCATGATTGAGTTCTATGTCTCAGGTTTCAGCCAGCGGCTGCTTTGTCAGAGTGAGGTGTTCCAGTGGCCAGGCGTATGGTGATTGTATAGTGGTTAGTACTCTGCGTTGTGGCTGCAGCAAGTCCGGGTCACGGCAGGTTCTTCGACATATATTGGACCAGTGGTACAATAGATGTCTCCAATGTCTAATTATATTGTAGGTCAGAAGAGTCTAGGTCTGCCTCCTGCCTGCCACAACTCTCCTTTAACCCATCCAATGTTCTGGATATTGCCTTGTTGTCTTCCACAGAGCTCAAACTAGAGTTCACCCAACTCGTCTAACAAAACCTATACTCCCATATGGTCTAGCGGTTAGGATTCCTGGTTTTCACCCAGGCGGCCCGGGTTCAACTCCCGGTATGGGAACTTGCCTTTATCGTATCACCCAAGCTGAAATTAGCATTGCTTCTCCTAAAAATCAATGCATAACTGAGTTCTATGTCCCAGCTTTCAGCCAGCTGCTGCTTTTCTGTCAGTGTGACGGTGCTCCTGCTTCTAGATGTGTGGTGAGCCATCGTTGTAGAGAGTTTAGTACTCTATGTGGTAGCTACAGCAAATCTGGGTCACAGCATGGATTTTCCACATCCCTCTTGTATTCTGAGTTTGACCATGGCTCATAACTAGCAGACCTTAACTACCACCCACCCCAAAAACTGACTTAAATCAACACCTCAAATCATCTTCAGTAAACACTTTATCCTGGTCAGGGTGGCAGTGGATCTGCTGGTCCGCAGTCTATGCTGCTACACTGTTATTAAAAACTGTCTCTATTGCACCCAAAGGAGGGTATCTATCTGTGTGTGCTTTTCTGGAGAAGACAGTGACAAGTCCACCTTCCCCTCCCCACCAGGAATTGTGGGCATGAAGCAGCAATACACACTGGATGGGATACCAGTCCTTACAAGGCACTACACACACAGGGGAGTACTCCACAGGAACAAACACTAATTTTAAAATCTGAATCCAAAAGTTCTTTGTAAACTTTGTGTCTGCAGTGAAGCGTATTCTTTGTTTGTATGTCAGCCATCTTGAAAATTTTAAACTGCAGCGGCATCTAATGGCTAAGCTCTTTCTGCTCAGTGCGTTCCCAGTGTGCAATTCAAATGAGACACAACAAGGCTAATTACAGGGAACAGGTGTGAGCAGTAATGTTTGGGGTGGAGCAGCTTGGAAAACAGAAATTATGTGTCGCTTTCATTACACTTTGGAAATATCTTGCTCTGGGGTGTGTCCCAAATGCTAGTACCCAAGACAGAATTCATGCTAACGAGTAACGGCTGTCAAGAAAGCTTACAGGAGCATATGGTTTGGGACGGTGTACATCGACACTGGCACAAGGAAGAGTTACTAGGAAAAAGAAACTTCCAACTTTGCAGCTACATCAGTAGCTAGCTAATAACTAGCTGGATAACTGGTTAATTAGCAGATGGATGAGAGTATAACTTCACACACACACACACACACACACATTGCCTGTACAGATAACACTACAATTTATTTCATTATTTAATCATTTAGAGGATTATTTGAGTTATTTGTAAAATAACTTGCATCATGCAACTTTCTTTCTTTCTTTCTTTCTTTCTTTCTTTCTTTCTTTCTTTCATCACGCCATTAATTTTCTTTTCATCCCTCCTTTCTTCTTTATTTATTCTTTGCTGCATCTTTTTTTATTGTTCCTTCTTTCATCACTCCCTTAATTTTCCTTCCTTCCTTCCTTCCTTACTTACTTACTTACTTACTTAATTGCTTGTTTGGTTCCTGCATCCCAACTCAATTTTTTTCCCTTCCCTTCTTTTATTCCACCATTGTGTCAATTCTCTTTGATCACTTATTTCTTTCATTTTTCCCCCTATATCTTCTTTATATTTCCTTCTTCCATCTTTTCATTAATTGCCCTTTCATTTCTTCTTTTTCCTTTTACACTTTCCTTTCTTCTTTTAATCAGTTCTTAAGTTCATTCTTCCATTTTAATTTTTCTTTCCTTTATTGATCTTCTGTGATCTCTTTTTTTCGTACTTTCCTTTTCAAAATATCGAATAAGATATAAGATATTGATTAGAACAGACTCTGACTAACGCTGTAGTAAAACAGGAAGTAAACATGAAGTCTAGCGTTTGAGACAGGCCCAAACTCCAATTTTAAAAACTATTGTTCCTCAAACTAGTACTGAGCGTTGAACTTTTTCTGCCTGCAGCGCGCAGGGTTAAAGCGAGGGTTTCCACACGACTGCACCGTCGCTGTCGTCTGTCCTTAAAAATGCAGATGTGTTTGATTAGTTTTGACTAATTGTGGGTAACGGCTGTTTTCACCTGCGCCTCAGGCTCGTGAGGGAAAGTGATTCATTGTGGCGGTGATGACAGGTGGGCCTGCCGATTTCACCCTCATTCACTGAATATCTAATGTCATTTTAAAGTTTAATGTGTTTTTTTTTCCCAGTGGCATCATGGAAAATAAATAAATTCACTTCACAAACATATTGTGTGCACAGAACTTTCGCAAGTGTACTGTGCAACTTTGTGACTGAATCATTTAGTACGTCTGCTAACAGCTCCAGCAGCGTTACAGAATTTATCCAACTGCAGGGTGAGATATGTAATATTTTTCATTGCACCACACCACTGTCCAAATCTGGATTCTGATTGGTCAGAATATGTTGATTAATTTTATATAACAACAGCTCTGACAGTAGTGCAGCTGCAAATCACATGTTTCTTTCTAACAGGTTAGGGTTTCTATAGTAACGGCTCGTTCACCAGGGCAGACGCATCATGAAAAATGAATGAATTGTTGATATTATAACTATTATATTATAATTGTTTTCTGTACGGAGACACTTATTTTATGGATTTTATGGAAGGAGTCTCCAGTGTCAGCATATTTTTTTACAGTTTATAGTTGCTGTAACATAATTCATGACAGGAACTTGTTTTGTGGACATTCCACAACATGAAATGTAACTATAAATGGGTAAAAAAGTACGACTTGTTGTTTTTTAACAATAAATTGCTGTGGTATAAGAGGAATAAAACATGTTGTTATTGGAAAATAAGCAACTTCTAGGTGGGAACA